GTACAAGGAGTTGTGAAATTGTCAGTTACTTGTTTCAGTTTTTTGTTTATAACTAATTTTTAATTATTGCTCAAATTTTTTATATTATATAATATTTTATATTGCTTAATTAGTTTATTGGTATAAAAATAAAAATAATTATGTATCTAGTTAATGTATATTATAATGTATACTTTTTTGTAGGTTAAGTGGAAGAACGCTCTTCTTCATTCCGATTTTTTTTTTCAGATTGAAGAAAGCGAACTTTGCCTGTTGCTCTACAGGATACCTTGTATTTATCATATTTTAAGTTATGTATTTCAATGTTTTGTAAAGGCCTGTATCAATAAAATCGTTATTATTATTATTATTATTATTATTATTATTATTATGAAAATTTGTTATATAGTGTGTAAAAAAAGTCTACTGTAAATTTATCCACTTTTTTTTGAGGCAAAATTTACTGTAGATCTATCCTGTATAAAATATTACCTCTATTCGATAATTTCTAAAACCTCCTGCTACTTATTTATTTTATTTTTGGTTTTGACTAATTGAAACAAAATGATAATCTATAATATCCTATTAATATGTTATTTCCTCGAGGGTTGATCATGGAAAAAGGTGTTTGTTTTTTGTAAAATACTACCACTATTTTGTGTTTTGACATTTAAATTATTTAAAGGATATTTTTTTTGTCTAAATAAGATAAAATGGTGATATACTGTCAGTATAATATAGCTCGTATATGACATAAAAAAAAAGACCAAGACATTCTGCCCTTTTTTTTTGTACGATAGAAAGAGTGTATCACATTAAATATTGATTTGTATGCCTTATATCATCTAGACGCTAATGTTAGTATACTTTATCAATAATATTCGCTGAAATAAGAGTTCTTTAAACATACTACCTATTTTGTGTGTATATATTAACTATACGACATTTACGCTTACATTATGTCAAATTCTTGAATAAAAAACATAATATAGGTAATTATATTATACCTATAGTATAAGTATTTAGGTTAACGTATGTGCCGTTTCAAAACGGTCCTAGTTTTTTGTACTATTTCTTTGTAAAATTTAATTTTACTCCCCCAATGGAGTTTTTAGGCATTGACATTTTATATTAGCACAAATATTTATTACACATATTTAAATGTCGTCTAATCGACATGCAATATTATTTTACAGAAGACTTTTATTTATCGATGATCAATGGTGTGGTTAGCGACAAAGCGTTTTCCTAGTTGTATTAAAATATACGAAATATTTTACATAACTAACGGGTATATGCATTTTTATTCAGCCAGATTATGTGGTTAAATCTCACTGCCTTTTGACGTCTTTTGAATATTTTCTTTTAAGTACTGACCCATATAATAAACGGAAATCATCGAGACTATTACCCCAAAAATTTAACTGTAATGATTAATTACCTTCGGCGGCACCTTTTTCTCGACATATCTAATAGAAGTACACCTTGTTAAGTAATAAGCAGTTGTTTATATACCGATCATCTTGGATTTTATACAAATTTGTGGAAAATTGTAGTAGTTCTTTGGAAAATGTAAGAAAATGTAAGAAAATGTAAGAAAATGTAAGAAAATGTAAGGAATTCAATAATTTTGAGGATTTGTCATATCTACACTTAGTCAATGGCAATTCAGTATCGTAGGATAATAATTCAAGTAAGACTACTTTTTGATTTTAATGAGATTCCGTGGCTTTTTTTCTTTATCTTTTTTTAATTAGTAAGTACCGATTTATTAGCACATTACTAAAGTACTTCTCCAATTATTAAAAAATCAACATACAACTATTGGTACCGTAACTATTAGCATATCATTACACGAGTCTGATTAATAGGGTTTTACCTCCTTGTCAACTTATGCATTCAGTTAGATTCTCCAACATTTTTAATGTATACCCTTCGAATCCCCGTGCTATCACCCTAATAGTGACGGCTGGTGACCAAAATATTGGATTTACAATGACAGAATGTAGATCTCAGTACAGATTTAGATAAACATATTTAGTGTTTTAGAAAGAAGTATATTATAAACACGCTAATCGACTAAGTTCCATGGTGTTGCGTCCCCTGGTGAAACACCCTCTAGTGGTCACCCATCCACAATGTGACCGGAAAGACTACGACTTAACTGTTGCGGGGAATGTGGATGCACACTTATCTCTCGACTGTCCGGCATTCTTCAATACACTCATGACTAGATTGATGTTATCAGTTAACTAAAAATACGCTCAATAACTAGAGCAGTAATCCCAACATATATGGTCAATAACGTATTTGATAAAAACTGATAATTAAGTTTTTGGATAAGTAAATAAATGCATACATTCTTGTCTAACCAAATCATGTGTCAATGTATTTTGAATTTAATCATCTGTCACTGAAAAATTAGTGTAATAGAAACGGTTTTTGTTTGTTATATTATGGATATTTTAAAATTTTGTAAGCAGAAATAGCGATTTTTGTTTTTAATTTACGCTAATCTCTAAGATATATGCACTCATATAGGAGAATTTTAATGGTCCCACTCTTCTCTAGTTACCACTCTGTATTTATAATTTAGCCACTAACTCATTCAATGATGAAATCAATGTGATAAAAGTGGAATATACCCCAGTAAAGTGAATGTTATCAGACTATACCTCGTATACAAATAATTTACAATTTATCTTTTTATTCTCAGATTATATATTCATATTTTAACTGCAATGATCTCATTTCATATTTAAAACACATAACTACGAACACGTATATCTATTCAAGCAATTAATTTAAATGTCGCCTCACTATTAGTTGTGACCCTTACGAGCAGAGCCCTTTTACCTGGAATCAGATACCTCCTCTTCAACCGCGGTGTGATATTTACAATACTAGCCGCTTTGTTCGAAGCCGCGTTGTATTCACCATCATTTAGCGAATTAAATAATCATTAATTGACAGGTTATTAATGATTGATAGGTAATTAATGATTGACAGGTCATTAATTATGGACGAGGTGATTAATGATTGACAGGTAATTAAAATGATTAATGACCTTTGGCGGCATCATCAAAGGAAAATTTGGTTCCCAGGCTCAAGTGCCTCTATACCTACTTATACAGTTCTTAACTGATAACAAACAAATTTTAACATTTACAATTAATATGTTTAATAATAAAATGTAAGATTTGATAACTAAAATACAAAGATGTTTTGGAAATATAGAATACTGCTTTATTAAATAATGAAATATCATACAAAACATAGATTTATTAACTGTTAACAATCACATTTTAACATTTTCAAATGAGGTTTAATAGTAAAAGTTAACATTTGATAACTATGATACAAATGTTGTATTAAACAATTAAAATATAACGTTAAAACATATATTTGTTAACATTTAACATATTTGATTTAAGTTAATAAATCTATTTTAATTCTAAAGCAGTAAATAAGTTTATTATTAATATCTCGATGTTTATTTTTAACTGATGAGCTTTTAACTTATGACGTGGTTATAGTGAACTTACGTAAGTTCGGTCATATCCAAACATACCATACGTTAAATATTAATAAGGTTTCTTAACATTAAACAAACGTTTCTCTCAGTGTAGTTTTTTTTTTAATTTGTTATAAGAATTAAAAAGTTGTGTAGATCAGGTTATAGTTTTATTAATCAAACCCTTATTCTAATAAAAATTCACATATTGTGTCTCTTTTTATTCTTCGATCATTGTCCTTTTGATCAATAATATCATAATTATTGTTCCATTTTTTATGAATGTATATGTCATGAGCTCTTATACAAAAATTCTGTAAGTAGCAACATGCAGTAATTATCTGGACAATCTTCCTTACAGAGTATACATTGACAAAATAATACATATGAAAATAATTATTACAGATTTGTAATAATATGCAAAATATTCGGGTCGAAATGGTACTGTTTTCTGTTTTATTTAAAAAAGAAATACACCGACCCTTTTGGGACATCATATATTAGAATCCAACCTAAACGTAATTGGGATTCCAAGTGATTCGCTTACGAATAATCATCTAAGTGCTTGAGCTTTGATGCAAAAATTTTCTGAAACAAGTAATGTTGAAAATTCACATTTTTTAAGAGGGACACAGCTTAGAAAAGGTCTTGCCTCTGAATCTGCTTCTCGTAATTTAAATGATTTACAAGTTAATGAATTAGGGCATTTTATTTGACATTTGATATTCATCTGGGACATTATCTGCTGGCAGTTCCAGTTAGAGAAACAACGGAAGTGTCACAGTCACTTCAAATATATCCGGTCATATACCATGAAATGGCAATAGAATTTGGAAATTCTCTTTGCTCTAAATATAGATTGGGGCATTTATTTAAAATGATTTAAGCAAAACTGGGGCTCCTTGTAAGGTTTCTATTGACAATAAAAGCTATAGACTCTTCGGTAAATGAGCTAATGTGTGTTTTTGACCCAGAGAAAACGAATTCAGTTAAAATGTCAATTCATAAGACAGCTGAACTTAACAATAAAACGCAGCAGTAGTAAAAAGTGTAATAAAAAATTAATATCAATGTACATAAAAAGGAAAAATTGTTCTGGGATGGAACATGTTAAAAACTTTTTAAATATTTTTGAGGAAGATTTGGCAACTTCTGTTTTCAAAACATTAGTGAAACTCAATTTCTTCAATAACGAAGCAAGACTTTAACACTTCCTTCCACTATTGAAGTTAATAAGCTGTATGATTTCGTAAAGAAAAGCATGAAATATTATTACCGATCCTTAAAGAGTACATTTTTCGCGGTAGTCTGGAAAGAACTGTGTTCATTCTTATTGATTGTATTTCAAATATTTAATAGAAACAGAGCAGGAGAAGTTGAAAGAATGGTTACTGAGGATTTTTTAACATATCAACCATACATTAATAAAGTAGTAAGTTCTTATTACAGATTTGTAATACGTGGTAAAAAAACTAGAGGAGTTCCAGTTTCATTATTTAAAGATAAGATGTATTCTGTTCTCTTGGTTTTAGACAATCAAAAAAGAGCAGGTGTATTAGAATCCAACCCATACGTATTTGGTATTTCGAATGGTTCGCTTACGAATAATCATCTAAGTACTTGCGCTTTGATGCGAAAATTTTCCGAAACAAGTAATGTTGAAAATTCCTATTCATTAAGGGGAACACAGCTTAGAAAACATCTTGCAACTGAATCTGCTCCACGTAATTTAAATGATTTGCAAGGTAATGGTTTAGCGAATTTTATGAAACATCATACAAATATTCAACTGGGTCATTATCGGCTGGCAGTTCCAGTTAGAAAAACAACGGAAGTGTTAAAGTCGCTTCAAATGGGAGTTGGCCATCAAAATGGTAATTTTATATATAATTATTGAATATTAATTATAATTAATAATGATTATTTTTAGAAACAATAAGAACTGAAAATAGTAGTGTAGATTTAAACAGCGAAATTCAAAGTGAAACTAAAGCTAATCAAAATGTTAGAGGTAATTTATTTTCAAATATACGAAACTACATAATAGTATTTTACAATTTCTTTTTATTTTAGGCAACAAAGATTATTGGAACAACAGCAGTGATGAAACCTTATAAGTAGCAAAGATGTGGTACGAAGAAGTGTATCTTAGTATTACTTATTGGATAAAAAATCAAATCATTTTTTTGTGCATATACGTCAATTTTCGTATTATTTTATTTTTGATTGCAATGTAGAAAATCGAAAGAATACGACTTTACGCTTCACCGATAATACAAAACTTGATGCAAATATTTGTAAGTTGGAAACCCCTTACGAGTTCTTCAGTTTTTTTTCAAGTGACCTAATACAACAAATAGTTCATGAAACAAACTTATATGCTGTACAGAAAAAACCCGAAAAACCTCCCGCTTTTACAGAAATCGACATAAAACAATATGTAGGCATAATAATATACATATCGATGGTCCATGTGCCAAATACTAGGTCATTCTGGAGTGAAGAACTTCATTTTTCGCCATTTGATGATACCATTGTAAATAAGTATGCCAAACCTTGATGGAATTCTAATCCCATCATACAATCCACGACTATCCCTATCTGAAAACAATAGCATCTACCTTAGTGGTACTATGCCACTTGACCAGATACAGAAAATCAACCTAAAACCAGACGGTACAAAAATATACCGCATGATACAAAGGAAGATCCATGATAGCTCTGACCCACCTCAATCCCTCACCATGCGTGATGCAAGCAGAGTCATCCAGCCCCTGTTTTGTACAACGCACCAGCGAACTCCCCTCCCCGCGATACATGGTGCAATTCCAACACCATTGTTTAATAGCGCTAAAAGTGCATTTACCTACACTGCATTTCCTCTCGACGGCGTTCCAAAAATTCCAAAAGATTACACATATCTATGGTCTAGCTACAGACATGTCCAATCATCTTCAAATGATGAAGCCATCCTGTTCTATGCTACTCTGAATCCTAGTTATGGACAAAGCACACTCCTACATAAGACTAACCATCCCAGCTTGCTTATTCCAGACTCTGAATTCTAGATAAACCCCTCTACCATTGCTCACACGCAATAACTACAGCTGATTTCCAGCCTAGATTTTTTTTTTCTAATTAGTATAATTTCTAACATGTTTATTTCAAGTATGCCACTTCCTTTATTATTAGACAAATAGAAAATGGAGATATGGAGATATGGATCTAGAAGAAACTGACACGTTAGATATACAATTTCAACGTCCATCATCTCCCTTAACTTCACAAATAGCATCCAATTGCCTGCCATTAACCAATAAAATACATTTTTTAAATGTACCTTCTTCAAGTTCTGCTTCTACTAGTATAATACATAATGATGGTAATAATATATAAATGTGTGGCAGCAAAAAGGAAAACCTAGTGAAATGGACAGAAAAGCAACTTGTTCATTATTAAACCTGCGTGACTCAAATACATATAAAGGGTGTCCCATCAAGAGCGCCGGATTTAAATTTGCCGCCATTTTGTTAATACGAGTTGCACTGTCAATTTTTTTTGACAGATGTCACCTACAGACCGCGCGATTTAAGAATATGGAGAAGTATTCAAATGAACAACGTTTAATTATTGTAAAAACACATTACAAAAATGGTGAAAGTTTTGCGAAAACAGTTCGCCATTTACGTCAAATTTTCGGTCGTCATGATGCGCCAAATGAATCGACAGTGAGGCGTTTAATTACAAAATTTGAGACCAAATTTACGCTGATGGATCAGAAGACCATTGTACGTCGTCGTCCTTGTCGGTCACTCGAAAATATAGCCGCAGTAAGGGAATCTGTGACCGAGAATCCGGGAACTTCCATTCGGCATCGTGGTCAAGAATTAAACATTTCCAGAGGCACTATGCAACGAATTTTGGTAAAAGATCTGCACTTGCATGCGTACAAGGTTCAATTGGTGCAAGAAATCAAGCCAAGAGACCATGCGCAACGCCGTGGATTTGCTGATTGGGTGTTGGAGCATCATCAAATTAATGCGGATTTTTCGAAGAAAATAATGTTTTCAGATGAGGCACATTTTCAACTCGACGGATATGTAAATAAACAAAACTGTCGGATTTGGGGTGCTGAAAATCCTCGTGTGATACTTGAACAACCAATGCATCCACCACGAGTAACTGTTTGGTGCGCATTTTGGGCTGGCGGAGTGATTGGGCCGTATTTCTTTGAGAATGCGGCTGGAAATGCGCTAACTGTTAATGGTGAGCGATATCGCGAGATGTTAACGGATTTTTTGTGGACCGAATTGGATGAAATTAATGTGGAGGACATGTTTTTTCAACAAGACGGTGCGACCTGCCACACAGCTCGTGAAACAATGGTGTTACTGCAGACTAAGTTTCCAGGCCGTGTCATTTCTCGTTTTGGCAATCACCATTGGCCACCAAGATCATGCGATCTAACGCCGATGGACTTTTTTCTCTGGGGCTATGTGAAGCAAAAGGTGTATGCAAATAAGCCTGAAACAGTGGAACATCTTAAAGAGGAAATACGGCACGTTATTGGTGAAATACAGCATCATTTATGCGAAAACGTGATTCAAAATTTCACCAAAAGAATAACTCTGTGCCAGAGGTTTCGTGGTGGCCATTTGCCTGATGTTGTATTTCACGTTTAATCGTAACCATTTTTCTTTATGTTAAAATAAAAATGTTGACTTAATTCAAAACATAAATGTGTTTTTCCTTCAAATTAAATCCGGCGCTCTTGTTGGGACACCCTTTATAAGGAAATTTAATGATAAATGTTCAGTAAAAAATAAACTGTGGAAAGAGATTGCGAAAAAAATTGAAGAAGAAGAAGACTTTTGTGTAAGTGGTGTACAATACCAAAAAAAGTTTATGAACTTGTCAAAAAAGTACATAAACTTTAAACGCCATGTACACCAGACAGGTGTTGAACGAAAAGAACAGTTTTATGATGACTTGCATAAGATACTATGCCAGAAGGATAAAGTTACCGTGGACAATATCATGGATTCCATGGAATTTCCGAGAGAATTTCCCAAATATGATAGTCAAACTGAGAAGTATGAAGAAAAACTATTCTTAGGGTCATCAAGATCAATAGACTTATATGCCATGCCTTCTAAAAGGAAATGAAGGATGACATACTATCAATACTAATCGATATGTCTTATCTTTTTAAACTGAATAAACTTGTACTCATAAAGTGATTTTGTTTAAAAATGTTTCAATATAATAGAATTTTGTTTAAACCTTCTAGAAGAATTTATTTTGAACAGTTAAAAAGAAAATGGATAGACAAAAAGAAGTCTGATATTTTTAATTCAATTTGCTCTAGTTAAAACGCAAAAATCAGTGGGAAATTTCACAAAACAAAGTTATTCTATATATAAAATTGAAGTGCAAATCATACGCTACGTGAAAATATAAGTGACATTTATAAATTTATATCAAGTAAAACAGTATTTAGTGTATAAGTGCATCAATCCTTATTCATCCATTTTAAAAAAGTGGCCATTGGAAGCTTATCAGAACCGTTTTTTGTTTGTTTTTGTTGGATTTAGAAAAATAAATAATTTCTGTTTTGAGTATTGGCAGTGCTACTAAGCCAACTTCAGACCAACTTTTTGGATTAATAATTATAACTATGGGACCAATTATTTTTGCGGTGCGTATTAATTATAATTTTTATTACTATTATAATAGTCAACTGAGAAGAGTAAAGAAAAACCAGCAGTTTTGAAAGTTAAAAGCATAAAAAACAACATTGAAACCATCTACAGTCACAAAAGTTACAATTTTAGAGACAATCCAAGAATGTAGCCGAAAGCAACAGGCAATTCAAGATCAGCAATTTCAAAAATGTTTAAGCTGATAGAAGATTAGAACAGTAGTTTGAGAGAGAAGAATATTGAAAGAAATAAACTAATTGATTTGATTGCTGCAAGTTTGTCGAAGAAAAAAAGAAGCCATAATTCATCAGATGACTCACCAGATGATTAGAAGAAAAAAAAAATACGTATGTTGTAACCATTATTTTTCCTTTGTTTATGACCTATCACCTAGTTATTGTTTCTATTACCTAGTACGTTTTTATTTGAAAGTTGTTTCAGTTTCAGTAGTTTCTATTAGGTACTTAGCTCGTTTTAATTTTTAGTTAATTTCTATTACTTAGTTTGTTTTTATTTTTAAATTGTAAATTTGTATTTTTTAAGGGGGGCACAGCTTAGAAAACATCTTGCAACTGAATCTGCTCCACTTGCCTCTAAATCTGCTTCTCGTTATTTAAATGATTTACAAGTTAATGAATTAGGGCATTTTATTTAATATTCATCTGGGACATTATCTGCTGGCAGTTTCAGTTAGAGAAACAACGGAAGTGTCACAGTCGCTTCAAATATATCCGGTTATGAGAGACGATGATATAAGCAATATCATATACGATGAAATGGCAATAGAATTTGGAAATTCTCTTTGCTCTAAATATAGATTGAAGCATTTATTTAAAATTATTTAAGCAAAACTGAGGCTCCTTGTAAGGTTTCTATCAGTGATGCCAACCTAGGGAATTTTTCCCTAGTTCTAGGGATTTTTTTGTGCAATAGGGAAAAAGGGAATTTTACCTAATATCTAGGGAATTTTCAAATTCTTCGAACTAATGGCACTTTTTTTAGTTTAATTAATATAATTTTACCAAATTTTAATATTATAACGCCTTGATGAGAAAACCTATTAACCTTGCACCCTGGGTTAAGATTTAATATTGGTATCTACAAGTGTAGTCCAGGCCTAATATAATTCTCGTTCAGGGAATTACCGAACAGCGGGCTCGACGCAGTGCGTGGGATTTTGTAACTTTAGACTTTAGTCGTTAGTTAGATTTCGTTTACGATACTTGTGTATGTATGCGTTTGTTAGTTAGTTACTATAGAAAGGTTACTATAGAAAGTTCATTTGAATTTATATTTTAAAAGACACTTTGTGGTGAAATTATAATTTGGTGGGAAAAGACATTAAAAAACATGAATCCAGATTCTGATAATGAGTAAGTTACAATATTTAATTATTTTATTATATAGGTATGCTCTTATCAAAGTGAGAATATTATTTTCATTGATTTGTTTTATTAAGTAATATTTTTTATTAAAGGGCGGGTCCAAGTACTCCTATAAAAAAAACTCAAAACGAGGCATGAAGCATCAAAACAAAAAATATATGAACAAAAATTTAAATCCGAATGGTTAGGATTGCCTCATTTTGCAGGATGGCTAGCAGAACATCCAACAGATAAATTTAAGTGTCGTTGTATGGCCTGCAATGTAATATTAAAATGTGGAAAATCCGATTTGGAAAAACAGGGCAACAAAAAAACACGTGGAAAGGGTGAACATGAAACAAAATATCCCATCAGTGGCAACTTTTTTTTCAAAAAACACAGTTCATTGTAAAAAGGTTGCTACAGCAGAAGTAAAAATGGCCAATTTTTTAGCACACCATAACGTTAGTTTTCAAATCATTGATCATTTGGTTCCAGTTTTAAAAGAATGCTTTCCTGACTCAGATATTTTAAGGGATTGTAATTTGGGCCGCACAAAAACGACAAATGTAATTAAAAATGTAATAGCTGAAGAACAATCTCAAGGTTTAATCGAAATACTCAGGAATCAATACTTTAGCATACTTATAGATGAGAGTACGGATATTTCTGTCAATAAATTGTTATGTGTTCTAGCTAAATATGTAGATAAACATACTGGAAAATGTGTAACCAGATTATTAGAACTAATTACAGTTGATGGTAAAAATTGCGACGCTGATCATTTATACAATGCTTTTAAAATATGTTTAAATAAAAAAAATATTCCTGTCAATAATATCATAGGCTTAGCCTCGGATAACGCAAATGTTATGTTAGGCAAATATAATAGCTTCATGACCCGATTAAAAGATGAAACTCGCGCATTAATTGTTATTCCTTGCATTTGTCATTCTGCAGCGTTAGTGGCAAATAAGGCATGCCTAAAATTGCCAAGAACTC